ATTTCTATATTTTTTTCACTAAAATAAAGATCATGATCTTAAAGATTATAATATGATAGGTACCAAAGAGGATGGCAAACATTTAGTAATTGCCAAAATAATGAGTAACGTATATTTTGGAGTTATAACAGAAATAATATTAAGTGTAATAATTATAATATATTTAATAGTAAAAAGTTCACTGAAAAGGGAAAAAATTTTGGACGAAAAAATAACAAAGAATGAGAAATATAACCGCGCGAAGCGCGGATATACTCACTAGTTAATTATTATGATGTGTCCATCCGCAAGGTCTTATCAGATAGTTTAACTCCTTTCTCAGATTCAAACAACTTCAACAACTCTAGTCTCCAACAATAAATATTTTGGAGATGGTGAAATTATTGGTCACTAAAAGTATTAATTAGAAAGCTAAAAAAATATTGTCCTTAACTAAAATTTAAACCACCTGTAAGGTATGGAAAGAAAACAATCGGAGAAGAGGAGAAATCAAAAGATTCTGGATAATTCTGATTACTCATAGTGCTAAAGTAAGATTAAAGTCATCTAATGTACATGACAATATTATAAATTTACACATATATAGTGTATCCACATATTTAAAATATCTCTCCGATATTAAAACATAAACAGAATTTTCTTCATAAGTATAAATATAAATATACCATGTATTCACATTTTTTAAACTTTTATCAAATATAAAACACCAAAAGAATTTTCATAATCTGTTATATTTACCTAAAAGTATGGGAATACTTATTTGAAAGGATAGATGTAGTTCCCTTAAAATTCAATACTTATTATTAGAGACTATTAACTGGTAGAATATTAGTATTAAAGAGTTTGGCTACAACCAGGGAAAAAACTGTAATAAGTCGAATTTTTTTTATATACTTATTATTATGGGATTGGAGAATTAATTTTATGTCTAACTATTTGGTCAAATATTAAGCAAGTAAAAAAGAATTTATTATGATATATAAATAGTATACCAAATAAGTAGTTAGTGGGCCTAATTTATAATTCACATACTAGTAAGCAATGTAGTGATTTTGGATAGTAATAGAGATGAAAGAAGTGGGCCCTAAGCGTTTTTGGACTTGGGGCTTGGAGTATATAATTTTATGACTTAGTTCCTTGATAACTAAGTCAATAGAGATGAGGATGTTGAGATGGATGTACGGGCACATCAGGTTAGATAGAATCAGAAATGAGGTTATTCGCGACAAGGTGGGTGTGGCCCCTATTGAGGACAAGATGCGGGAAGCGCGGCTTAGGTGGTTTGATCAAGTGAGGAGGAGGAGCACAGACGCCCCGGTGAGGAGGTGTGAGAGGTTGACAGTGGAGGGCTTACAGAGAGGTAGAGGTAGGCCAAAGAAGAGGTGGGGAGAGGTGATTAGGCAAGACATGGCGCAGTTTCAGCTAACCGAGGACATGACCCTTCATTGGAAGGTATGGAGGTCGAGTATTAGGGTAGTAGAGTAGGTAGTCTAGAGTGTTCATAACAGTAGTATTGGCATGCAGTCTCGCTTTCTGTTGGTAGTAGGTTTTTATGACTATCTGTTGTTTTCTTTCATTGTTGATCACCTTACTATCTTGTTGTTTTTATTCTGCTTTTATATGGCTTTTTGGTATTGTCCCTTCTTGTCTATATTTTCATTAATGTGGTGCTTATGCTTTCCTGAGCCGAGGGTCTATTGGAAACAGCCTCTCTATCCTCACATGGTAGGGGTAAGGTCTGCGTACACACTACCCTCCCCAGGCCCCACGGTGTGGGATAATACTGGGTATGTTGTTGTTGTTGTTAGTTCCTTGATAAAGAATAGTAACCCAGTAAAGAATACTAGGAAACACTGTATCGGTAAGAAGACGTTAGAAGGCAAGCTTGATTGAGTTATCTTTCACTGCGGAGGAATATTGTACAGGGAAAGTCAAGTTACAAGGTATGTAGATATATCTAAACCTTACCTATGTACGTGACCTTGAATTAAAAAAGATTATCAATTATACTTAATGATTAAGTAATGATTGAGGGGGGCAAAATAATTATTGTAATGATTGGTGAGATAGTGGAGTTAGACATAAAAATTTTGAATTTGAAAAGCTGCTATGGAAATTGAAGTAATTCACTTATGCAGTTCGATTTTTGCCTCTTTAAATTTGGGGACAAAATGATTATTCAATCATTAGGTAATGACGAGAGGACTACATGGTTATTGTAATGATAATTAAGTGTACTAGTACATGATGGATACAAAAGCGGGTTTCAACGTGACGATTCATTAATTTAGTTAGCGAGTTTCAAAACTGTGGAATTATGTATAAAATTGTTGCTTCGGTCTCAAGTGCAGACACATACTTTTTTCTTATGAATATTATTTTGGGACTTGAATTTTAATATTTTGCACTTGTATATTAAATATTGGGTTTAGATTGAGATATTGGGATATGTCTTTACCTTCAAAAATATGGTATTTGATAGGTGGAATATTAAGATTCAACTATAAGCTTAAAAGTTTGGGATAATGAGATTTGACCCGACTAGCATAATTGACATTGTTAATTACTACTTTGCATAGATTGAGGACATTGGAGTCAGTTTGATTGATGTTCTAGACGTCGCAAGGTTGGGGAATATATCATTAGCAAGGTAAGTGAGACTTTAAGCTTTGGTGCTTACTTTTCAAACCCGTTCTAAAAGTATGTTTTGTCTGCTTGGTCCATGTGGTGGAACGAGCGTGTCCTTGGCAGAATCGGTGGTCTTAGATCAGCCACAAATATATTATTTTGTAAAAAATGCTGAAATTATTTAATAAGTGATTTGTGGTGTGGCGTGGCTTCGTGACATGACGTTGGGACGTTAGGAATTATTTCTTTGCTGCCGTAATATATTTAGGACATTATGTATGTCGCCGTGATAGATTTGGAGCATTGTATATGTTGTCGTGGACTCATTGAGGTGTTTGATTAATTTCTTGCACTGCCGTTTATGACAAGTTCTTAGCGTAAATTGTGCTGAGATATATATATATATATATATATATATATAGTGTTCTTGTTGAATATTTGTTTGGAACTTACTAAGTATTATATAGTGATATAACCTCAGTGCAATTATTTTTGTACTCGTGTGTGCTTGTATTGTCTAACACTTGTTCTAGAGGTGTTTAAAGTGGCGGGTCAAGGATCTTACTGAGTTATATTTACATATAACTCACTCCTTACCTTCATGTCTATGCAAATATTGTTGCTGACAATAGAGCTAGTGGCTAACAAACTTATTCGAGCTGATTCTATTGCTGAGATGAGCCACCGAATAGTCCGTGGAGGCTGCCATTTCAGTTTTATCTAATTTTAGCCAGTTACATCCTTTGTTTTGGGGTTTGCATGCCCGTTAGTTAAACTCATGTTACTCTATTAGATGCTCCATGGTCTTAGTGTGTGAATTGGGCTAGAGATTTATTGTTTGAGTGTTTGTTGGCTAAGTTGCTCCAAAACGGCATGTTTAGGTGCCGCACCCGTGTCGACACGACACTAGTATGGGTGTAGGTATAGGATCCGTACCGGATCTGGTCAAATAATTTTGGGTACTTTGACCATGACGTATGAAAAAATTTGAGTGGAGATACAATTTCATTCCCGAAATCAGAACCAAAACTAGGGTAAATTTGAAGAAAATAACATGCCTCATCTAGGAAATCAATCATTTACTTATCTACAACTTGAGAATAAAAAAGCATCCACATTTTACAAGCTATACGTAAGTATTCCACAAAATTTCTCATAATTTAGAGATATTTTTATATTTTAGTTATTTTTAGTTGAATCCCCGCACCTGTATCCGTACTAGGATCCATATCCCCGAATCTTAAAATTTACACCTCAAAGGATCCGATCTCTAGATCCGCACCCGTGTCCGAGCAATTTAGCTTGTTGGTTTTATAAATCGACTCTGGATTTGGTTAGATAATATTTCCTATTTAATAATTATTAATGCTTTTGACCTTGTACATATTATCTTTCAATTTGTATATAAATGGTTAAGCGTAAGGAGTTGGTTCGCCTGGCGGGTGGTATCAGCTAGGTGTCAATTACGTCTAGGGAATAATTTGAGACGTGACAAAAATGAAGTTGCAAACTGTATTACCTCCTCACTCGTTTCACATCAGTTGGATCCGTTGATTGAGTTGTTTCTCCTTCAGCTTCATCATCATCTGATTGCTCCCCGGATGAACCACTTGTTGTTGACCTTACCTGGATCCCAGGTTTCTTCTGCACTGCAGGCAAAGGGGGTATTCCAACTGGCTCATCAGCATCCTTATCTTGAACTTTTGCCAATTCCTGTCCAAATCCTGCACCAATAAAAAAAAGGAAACTAAAGAATGAAGATACAACCTTGTTAAACGTAAATCAATACGGCAACATGCACTGTCTCTTTCCCTGGATTAAATGGATATCTATGTTCATTAATCATCTTATTTATGTGTTGTGCATAACATGCTTTGGTGCTGATGAGATCCTTGTATTCTTGGATAAAGAACCATAGACTTGGATTTCTGGTCCTTAATTATAGAAAAATTGCAATTTTGGTTTTTGTAATATTTAACTAAGTGTATTTGGCATTCAATTAATTTTAATATGTTTTTGGTCCCTCCCTCCGCAGATGGACTTCACAGATCTATCGGGTTCTTAGTGCATGAACCATAATTTGAGGAAAATATAATGTTAGGGTATTGTCCTTTATAGAGGAAAATAAGTTTTATTCTAACTATATATATTACAATCAATAGAAGAATAGAAGTACTGAAATAACACACTCAGCATAAATATGATAGTCAAAGTAAATTTATTTGAGGTTGTGTGATTCTTATGAGGTTCTATGAAGAGTTTTCCTTCTATCTAGTGGCATACATGTGTTATGATTAGAGCTCGGATCGCTTGAGGAAGTTGGCACGACCGCCATGAGGATGAGTAAGCATTGGCAGATAACTTGGAGTGTGTTTGACTAGTACTACATGCGCCTATGATGAATTCAGCTGAGTAATAGGCGAGATAATGGCAGTTAAGAAAGAAGAGTATTGTGGGATATCAGAAGATGTGTTTTGTGGCTTCGAGCCAAGTGGGGGAGTCTACTATTGACGATCGGATCGCATGGTCATGTGTTATATTAGTTTTTGGACTAAGGCATACTTGTGGATCAGTTATGACTTGAAAAGGATGACTTCGAGGATGATTCGAGCAAGAGATTTGTTGGATCCATGATGTAATATGCTTTATTGGTATATGAAGGTTGTGGAATGACTCAGGTTTGATATTTCATTGTAAATGCAGTGTGCAAGGAAAGGGATTCGCTTGGTTGCTTCTTTTTGGATATTCATGTACTGGCGGATCACTAGTCGTTCTGCGTGAATTGGCTGTACAATGGAGATTATAGCAGAGTGGACGACTCTCGGTGACTCTAATAGGTTCAAGATTCATATGTGATATCTAAAGGTTCCCGAATTTGTGTCTGGCTATGATCTGAGATTTGCATCGGATGATGCCGAGACTTGCAGTATTTCTATATCATTATTTATTCTACATTGCATTATTAGAAAGGTGAAAGAAACAACTTCGGATTCGAAGAAGGTTTCTTCAAAGCAGGCATTTCGGTTTGAGGTAGTATAGGGTGCATGAGAGGGAATAAAGTGATTTACGAGTCCTAGGACGACATGGTTTCATATTGGGATCACTTGGTATGAGTGTTGATTAAGGTCCATAGTATACTGGGAAAGACAAGTATTATCTTGAATACAAGTCAAGAGGAATATGAAGATGTTGGCTCAGCTTAGCAGTGGTTTGGATCAGCATGGTAATAGAAATGATCGGTTCCATTGGTATGACAGGCTTTACAGGTGTTTTGTGGCAATACTTTTGGGTTTGGCAGCCTGTGTGACTTGGTTGATTCTGAGGGGTTGAGTTCTGATAGCTTGGTTATGTGCATATGGGTTTCGATGAGCTCACGATGGTTTCGACCACGGCTTGAGGCCAATGTCTTCTATGGGTATGGAAGGGTTATTGTGTATTGCAATGTTCCCCTGGATTGAGTTAAGTAGAAGATTCCTGGTTAATGGAGTGTTTATCCTACTTGTGATTCAGAGTTGATTATGAGACTTGTATTTTCATATGTTGGCATGATATATGCATTGTGCCGTGTGGGATTGAGATTTCATGGACAAGATTGCGGTTCAGTTTCGAAATGAAGGTCATGAGTTCTAGACAACATGGGAGATTTCAAATATTTAAGAGGATACTAGCACTATCTTGTATCGCCTGAGGATGTATGTTGTAGAAGATGCACTGAATATTGAATTGCGGATGCTTGACTAGTACTACTGGATTGCATGGTTGGTAACCATTGATGTTCAGGTTTGCTACTCGACGCAGAGGATTTGTGGGAGTGCTTCTCACGAGGTGATTGTGTATGAATGACGTGGTAGCTATTTAGATGGAAGAGTTAGAGATCCAGTATAGAGACTCTTGTATTCACGAGATTCAAAGATTGGATCTTCTTAAAGGCAGATTATCCCTTTGGATGCGGACTGTGAACGTGTGTTAAGGGCAGTGTTATTAAAAGTGAGCGCTTATGCGCTTATGCGCTTTAAGCGAGAAGCGAGGCGTAACCCTTGCGTTTTTCTGCCTTAAAGCGAGGCATGGGTTAAAAAGCGCACGCTTCAGGCCCAAAAGCGAGAAGCGAGGCGAGCGAGAAAAGCTCGCTTAAGCGAGGTCGACGACTGCCTACAGTTTTATTTTAAAATTTTGCAAATACATTCTTACTTCTCTTCCAAAACATCTGCTTCGAGTGGACTGCTGCAAGCCTTGCGACATCTCTTCCTCTCCTCTTCTTTTGACTGTTGCGACTTATTTCAAGGTAAGTTTTCTCTTCTCTTATTCTCTTTCTTCTCTTCTCTTCTCTTCCTCTTCTTTTTTCTGCTTTACCTGCTTCCTCTCGACTCCTCTTCTCTTTTCTCTTATTCTCTTTTTTCTCTTCTTTTCTATTTTTTCGGTTCTTCGACTTGCAGCAGTTATTTTCTATGTTCTGCTCTAAATTTTTCTCTATTCTGCTCTGTTTTTTTCTCTTCTCAATTGTGATGACACTTCAAGAGTTTTGAGATCTTGTTGAAGAATAGGATGTTGCTCCTTTTGTGATTTGGTTTTGCATTTGCTTAATATGTTATGACTTATGAGGATTATTGACTATCTAGTTCTGGTGTCTATTCTTTACTTCTTAATTTAAGAATTGAAAGATTTTCGTAATATGTTATTTTTATTGAGTTTTTGGTCATTTATCTATGCCTATTTAATATTTTTATTTTTGTATTAAATTGCGCTTCACATGAAAAAAGCACGTGTTTCGCTTCACGCTTCTCGCTTTGGTGAAGCGAAGCCTCGTCGTTTTTTTCTGCTTCTCGCTCTCCAATACGCTAGTTAAGGGTTAGGCAGTTGATTATGTGTGTTATGGATAGGTCATTGTGGACCTTTGGAAGGCTATTCACCTGATCGGAATGGATTGAATCGGTTTGAGGGCATATTTGTAGGCCTAATAGGTATGTGTATTCCGCACTGGATTGGATTTGTTGACTCAGCACAACATTTGCGAGGGGTGTGTCATCGGCTAGAGGTGATCTTATTCATGCGCTAATCTATTTCATGTGTTACTCTCTTATGCTAGGATGGGTTGCGAGACTCTTTGACTATGCCTTGTGAGCGGTATTTGAGCGAGATGGCTCTTGAGATGTTGAATTGCTTGTTGCACCTCAGTCGCGCTTTGCCTGTCTGTGGTATATTGTGTTATTTGTCTCTCAATGGTTATGGTCATGCATTTCGCGTGCTTGCTATTGATACACACGTGTTAATTGAGTATGCACATTTGGGCTCGATGGGTATTTCCATGTTGGTTGATACGTTTGGATCAAGTTGCGCGCCACAGTAGTTATGTTGGGATATGATTCCTTGTGCTTATTCCATGTGTTTTGTTTCTCCCTTGTGGAATGGATTCATAGCATTGTACATTTGTGGTTGTATCTGTTGAACTTGTTGGACGGTTCTCTTATTTGGTTCTCTTTCCATTATTAGCCACATCGAGTTGTTGCTTGTTAGGTGCACGGATTGCGCCGTATGTGGTTCTAGGTGGCATTTGGTGTGGCTTGTCGGTTAAGCAGCTTGTATTAGGTGAGACGAGATTACTGGACCTGGAATTTGTGCTTTCGGATTTGGGATAGGGTATGGAAGAAAAATGTCATTAAACAGCTCATAATTTGGTTATGGTCCTTGTCGGGCAGGAGAACCACGAGTTGTTGATTTGATGGGTGGTTATGAGTTTCTACACGTTTCTTTTATCCTTAGCAGGGTTGCGAAGGTTTGACACAAGGTTTTATTTGATATGAGGTATATTATCGGTACCGAGGTTGGTAATGGGCAACTAATGTGATCGGAAAATGATGTTATGAGTATGAGTTATGCGGTACATTGTGTGGTTATATTGGGAGTACATTGATGACTTGATACAACTTGTGGGAACTGATAGAGTGTATATACGAGAATCAGATCTTAGAGGGAGCTCCGGATGTTGGGATCTGGTTTTAAGGATTGTAGGCTAATGTTGAAAGAAGAATTTTCAGTCAAGATTGTGTTAGTGAGCTTGTATGGATTGAGGTGACGTGATATCCATGGATGTGTATGATGAGCTTATACAATGATTTGATGGCTTTGGAACGACTCTTGGCACGTTCGAGGACGAACATATGTTTAAGTTGTGGGGAATGTAATGACCCGATCGATCGTTTTGATTTCTAGTATTTCATGTTGTAATTTGACACTTCGAGTGGTTTCATATGGTGTATTATGACTTGATGTATGGTTGGTTTTGATTTTCGAGTGGTTCCGAATCGATTTGACAGAGTGATTCTCAATTTAGAAGTTTTAAGTTGGAAGAGTTGAAGGTTTGACTTTTGAGTAACGACCCCGGAATCGGGATTTAATGGTTTCAATGGGTATGGTGATTTTGGACTTGATTTGGATTTGGATGTTCCTAGATGGTTTTGGCTCTATTTGTCGAAAGTTGCTACTTTCACAAGGTAGGGGTAAGGACTGCGTACATACTACCCTCCCCCGATCCCATTTGTGGAATACACTAGGTATGTTGTTGTTGTTGTTGTTGTTGTTGTCGAAAGTTTGGTAATTTGAAGAATTGGAGAGCCCATAGGTTTGACCGGGAGTTGACTTCGGTGTTATCGGACTCCTATTGCGGTTTTGAGATCTTGTATAGCCTCATTTAGTTGATTGGAACTTGTGTGCAATGTTTGGCTGTGAT